CACAGTAATATGAATAATATGACCTTCGAAGAGCCAGACGGAAGGTAAACCGTAGCTGGAAAGTAAATAGAAAGATATCATACAAGTTTCGGTCTTCTCTAAGACCTTTAAGTAACGAGTATAATTATATTTGATATAATCACCTGCACACGTAAATGGCAAGCTATTTTATGCTAACGATATTTCATAATGACTTTGTCATGTTAGATGGTCAAAGCCCATTATCAAGTTTAAAAAAAAAAAAACAAGTAAAACCGTGATATCGATGGAACGTAACGCATAAAGAAAAATTAATTAAGGAACGGTATCTCACTTATATAGCCATGCCAAACACTCTTACTGCCACTACACCCGTGGGTGAAGCAGTTCAGGTTCAAGAAGGCAGCGTTGTATTTTCTTCTCCAAGTCCTGAAGGTTTCTATAGCCGTTAGTCCCTGTACAAATTTTGTGAAGACGTCTAATTATTTTAACTCTATGGCAATTGTAAATTGTTTTCTTTCCTGAAAACGGAAAGTGTCAATGAATTTACGTCATCGATGCATTTTGATGAAGGGGGCGCTTTCATTCTTCAAATGCCCTTCCGCTTACATGACTTTTCTCAAAAGACAGGTCTTCAAATGTGCTTCATACACACAGTTGCCCTCGTCAGACTCTTTGTCGTGGAAAGTTTGAAATATGCCTACGGTAAAAAAGAAAGTCAACCGCCAACCAGAAAAACTGGAATGTTAACCAAAAGTGGGAGGATGTGGTTTAGGGCGCTTTGGCGTTTGGAAGGTAAATTATGAAAATGAATAAATAATTAAAAAAACCGCAGTCTTTCTAAGAAATGGCCACAGTTGGTTGCGTCAGATAGGATATAGCGTGATTCCTCCTTAGTTGAGTATATCGTGCTTAAAAAAGTAAAAAAAAACTTTTATATAATTCAAGCAGTTGCAATGAAAAAGAGCAGGATTAACTCCGTCGCGCTTTATAGCAAACGGCCGTTGAAAATTAAGCCAAATCATGGCTTGATAATAATTCTCTTCCGCATACGTGTGGAGAAACTTATGAATATGAACGAACAACCAGAGAAACAGCTGGCTGAGCCAAAAGAAGAGCGAACTCGATTTCTTCTTGGCTAGGTATCTCTTCAACGTGAAAAAAAAATCAAAGCAGGAATAGAAAAACGCACAGTTTGAAGCTCGATAACATGCTGCTCCCTACTCGCTAAGAGATTGTAAGGTTAAAAAGTCACTGAATTGTGCCGAACACTTCACTGAGAGGTGATCCAACAGATGAAAAAAAAAATTTAAGCAACTATTGTTAAGACTTGCTGCGCACACACACTAACAAAAAAAAAAAACAAACAAGAAAACTAATTTTGATTAAGCCTGGCATACAAAAGCAGTTTTTTCTTCTCAAGATACAAGTATAAAAACACAAAGCCAACAAAGGTTCAATCGTTTACAAATTTCATCAATGGCTATAGGAAAACACTTAGTAAAGAGCGTCAATCATGTAAACTGTCTCAGTGAAAGAGAGCAGATCACGGTAGTTCAGAAATATGTAGCGTCCATTTTAATTAACAAAGCGCAAAGAGCCATAAAAAGAAAAGGGGATGACAAAATAAAAACTTATATGCGAACTGATTCGAGGCATTCGAATGCCATTGAAACCAAATCACAAAATATAGCAATAATGCAACATACTACTAATATTTTATCAAAAAAGAAAAATACGCCCATTGAAGTTGGACTCAATGCAGGAAGCAAATTTCCTTTAATACCAAGATACATAAAGCCCAAAATTCTCTATTGATAGCCTGGAGTCAGCTTTGTTAAATGTTCCGACCTGGGGCATGCCTTCTTCAGCAGTAAACGGAGGAGCCATGACTAGAAAGGTAAATACCGCCACATGGAGAAGAGGGATATGCTTGTTTGTAACGTGCTTTACTTGATGCACAGTTTTGTCTCCTAACAACCAAAAACTTACAGTACTGTTTGGTGAAGCTTTTTCACGATTCCTATTTCCAGAGCTTTAGCTGTGGTGAAATTTATTCACCTCACATCAGTAAATGCTTCGGAGAAAACGTTCATTGGCAATCATGCATTTGCAATGTTTCGTTTACAAACTGAAGAAAAAAACGAGCCGCACACATGTAAAGGCAACTTCATCAAATTGAACTTCAACCTGTACCACCAAGGTTTTATATACGACATGCAAAACGGTAGACAACAAATATCTGAAATTAGCTCAGTAGCGTGCAATTAAGGACCATACCGTGTTGTTATCAGCATCTGTCGGAACAAAGCTCATGACGGCATGTCTGAAGTGAGACCCTTCCACTAAAAACGACCATTGCACGAACACCAGTAAGCAAAGAAGGCGCGTGAACGTATAAGGTGTCATCTTGGGTAAGCTTACGTTTCAATTGACCCACTCCAAAAGAAATTATCATATAACTGCTAAATCGATTTCACCAGGCACGCTATGCATGAGCCTAAGTTAAATCATGTCAATTAAGATTACTCGGGCGTATCCAAGATAATGAAAGGTCTCGAAGCCATTCATTGCAAATAGTATCATTTCTCGAGAAAGTAGGGATGTTCATTTAATGTTTTGTCATGTTATTAAAGTATAGTAGTTTAAGGCACAAGCTAAGAAATCACTAGACCTATTAGTTACTTCAGCACACTTTGAATGAATTAAGTTACCCTAGCATGAAACCTCAGAGTAGGTCTGTTAACTAACGAGCCGATTCATTTCTTGCATAACAACACATTACGTGGTTATTGCAACTCATATTTTGCTTCTGTCCAAACACGAGTGAAGAGAAAGCTCGTGATGAATATATTTCACAACCCAAGAGAATGCAGTAAAGGTAGTTTGGCGCACACGCATAACAATAACCTCTTTTCTCCTCATGGCGTGGGCGTTACTCACATGCCTAGTGCGTGAGAACATTGTTGCCACAGTTCGGAAATTCATATTAATTAGCTTCAGGAAGCAAGTTTTAATTTCAGCTGCACATAAACTCAAGGTTTTTTTGACCGTCATATTCCAGAGTCTTGAAATCCTATAAATCATATAGGTAACTTGTTCCCTATAATTTATATTTTTGGAATATGAAAAACCAACTGCACCTGGTGTATCTACTTGAGACGAGCGCCTACTGTAATTAAACATTTTTGTTGAGTCATGTCCAACGCTTTGTCTGAAGATAGGCATTAGAGTGGGGGAAATCAGGGGAAAAAGGGTCCCTAGCAATTCATAGCTCGATCGAGAAAACTAATGCAATCACTAAGTGTAAGTCTAAACCATCAGACCGTAATGAGCTGTTTTTAAGACCCCACTTCTTGAAAGGTAAAGACTTAAGATAAACTCGCACAGTCAGGCAGTTTTAATGAGATATGCAAATTGTGTGCTTTTTGATTTAATAAACTTTGACCTTGCTGGGAATGAACACAGCTGATTGGTCTTAACAAACAGCTTTCTTGAAGATGATTAATTTCCTTTGTGTTGCTGATTCAGTGAGCGTTTCAAACTTGACTTGTGACCTGATATTTCTTTAATTGTCTTGAAAACAAGACTTTATCACGAAACCTACTTAATATAATTGACTTCCATTACTTTAAAAGCGTCTTCCTAAATATCGACAACCATGCGCTCTCTTGTGCGATCTAAACTTATTTTCAAGCTGAGTGCAGACTCAGGGTAGCAAACAGAAATAGAAAACATGAAAACCCCCTTTGCATTATTTTTCAACCGAGTGATTTCACGGTACTGATTATAGTTTCGCCATTACTTAATTGACTCATTGAATTGCTTTTTCTAAAACCTTTTCAAACATTCGAGCCTTCTGTCAATTCGACGCTAGATTTGTACATGCACTTTGGGTTTCCTTCTTTTTCTTTTTTCCTTCTATCTTGGTATATTAAATTTTGGGTATTACACCTTTTGAAGAGAAAGCTTTATACAAGCGCATAAATGATTGTCTTCTTCATACTAATGCTGTTTAGGAATGCTATTCAATTGCAAACAGTGTGGTAAAAATGTTAATGAATAGTTTATGCTCTATATTGATTATGTATTTTCTCTATTGACTTTCAAGATGGTGTAAATGACTTGAATGCTAGCGC